CAAGACTAAGAAATATGGTTAGGGTCCTTGCTCCATGTGCTCCATGCTGCCTGATGTGCTGTGGTGTCGTGTTGCTGCTGTCTCTTATACACATCTAGATGTGTATAAGAGACAGGTATAGACCTGTATTTTGCATGTTTCAATTCAAGTTTAATTTAGTTAGTAAAAAAAATGGCATCATTTATAAAAAAAAAGTGGTCTAAGTTACCCCATTTTACGGCATGTTGTGGTTTAATAGGTACCTATGGTACTTAATCTTGACAGGTAAATAGAAATGGGAAAGCATGTTATCTATTTTCAAAAATTGTGTTCTATGATTGGTATGATGGTCTGGAGTCTGGACTCTGGAGGAGGCCATACACTGCACATACTAGCTGTAGCTGAAGGCTGAAGCTGGTGACATTGGCTGACTCACTGGTCCACTTCCACTGGACAGTGGACAGACTTTGATTTGTTTCCAGCTCAATCACAGAATCAGCTTCATTGATCTTGCCTTGATCAAGCTCCTTCAACAAAAAGGCTGGAAAGATGTATAAAAAAATTATAGAATACAAAAAAATTTAAGTTTGAAGAAATATAATAGTTTGATCTTCAAAAAAGAACTCTAAATATCAATGTTTATCCTTTCTAAATAATGTTGAACAAGTGTTTGATTATTGATAACAATTCAGGACTGCGCAATTGTGAAGATTTCCTGAAGACATAGCACAAAATTTTACTAAAGGCAGAGATAGTCTAAAACTAGCTTTAGTATTATTAGGAATATTGGACCACTACCAGGATCTTTGTCATCAGCTAATTTCAGTTTCCAGAACTTGATTTGGACAGTCATAGTTCTGTTGGAACAGTTGGATGAAGAGAAGCTTTTCAACATTTTCTGGCTGAAGCCAACCAATTTAGACACTGCAGACTGCATCCCTATGCGCTCCATGGTGCCTGAACTTGTTCCGAACGTGAATAAACTCGACTCATACTCATATGGTTCCCATAAGTGCCATCAAAGCCTTAGTTAAGAGTAACATTTTTTACTCAATACACAGCCATAAATTGACAGGTTTGCGGTGTTTGTCGGATCACTAATTAACTGCCATTTCAGTTAGTCAGACAAATTTTGCTAAATCTGCAATTAACTCAATTTAACTGGTAAGTGGTAACTGCGGTAAACTGCCTATGGCCCTATTAGCAATAAAGCCATGGTCTGGAAGATGTGCCAGGTACACGGGAATTTATATTGTCATTTTAATGACCTGCGCGGTGCGCCGTACTAACGGTACTATGCCGGTAAACAAATGCGCCGTGCGCTGTACTTTTAGAAAGCTAAAATAGTTTAAATATGGACGTGCGGCAACGCAAATTACGTAATCACAATGACCGTACACACAAACGTGTATCTGCATTGTGTCGTGGTTGGATATGAGTTAACTAGATTGCTAATGCGTCAACTCAGGACTCAGGTTCTAAGAGTCAGCACAGTAATGAATATTCATTCATAGATCACAATTCAATCAGACATGAATTACAGAACTAAAGAAGGCAACATGGCTTTAGATGTGCCATCGGTGCATTCTAATGAATGACTGGACTGGTTGCGGCAAGTAGGGTAAGAACCTGTATGTCAACAGTACGATCCTGCATGCCAATGTTGGCACTACATTCTTGACATCCTCCCGGCCGGTGAAATCGACACGATCAATACCTAATAACAATGCGCGTAAATGGACTACCGTAAAATGGGGTAACTTTGACCACTTTTTTCCTTCAAAATGATGTCATTTTTTACTAGATAAGTTAAACTTAAATTGAAACATGCAAAATACAGGTCTATACTCTAGCTTTACTCACCATAAATTGCTGGCTCCTGCCTCTCATAGTTTTGATGTAATTTAAAAAAAAGTGATGGTCTTTGTTACCCCAGCTCTTGGGGTTTCTTTGACCAGGTGGTAAAATCAATTTTATTTTTTAGTGAAATAACTCCAAATAACTCCAGGGGCAGGTTGTGGTGCATTGTAGTAGAACTCTTCTAGTTACATATACAAAAGACAGATTTTAGGAAAGTGTCATAGTTTGCAAATGGGGGGCACTGCCCCCAAATGGGGTAACTTTGACCACCTAATGGCAGCCATGACGGGGTAACATAGACCGGTTTGGAAATTAAGTTAAAATTACCATGTATAAGACTCTGTAGAGTCTAAAACATAAAGAAAAAAACATTAATAGGTACCGGTATATCAAACATAAAATATGTTATATAGGTACCTATGGTAATTTTAACTTAATTTCCAAGCCGGTAAATGTTACCCCGTCACTGCTGCCATTGGGTGGTCAAAGTTACCCCATTGGGGGGCGGCGCCCCCCATTTGCAAACTATGACACTTTTCTAAAGTTTGTCTTTTGCATATGTAACTAGAAGAGTTCTACTACAGTGCACCAAAACCTGGAGTTATTTTACCAAAAAAATGAAAAAATTAGAGGGGGTACTCCGATAGGCTTTAAATAGTTGCTCTTTTTTTGTGGGTCACATTATTAATTTTATACCCTATTAGATATGCAAACTTTTTAAATCTTTCTATTGTGTTACATAGCCTCAGTATTAGGCCTTTGAGGGCCATTGACAAAATTTTTCTATGACAAATAGTTTTTGAGTTTTGGGGGTTTTTGTTAAAAAAACCAAAAGTGGTCAAAGTTACCCCGCTGGTCTAAGTAACCCTATTTTACGGGACCATCAAACAAGTAATAAAGGACGGGTGGGGTAATGAGATCCAGTCCAGCAACATTTTGTAGAAATGTTGTAGCAGCTAAAGTAATTGAAATGTTGCAAAACAAAAAATAGTGGCATAAAGGTCAATATTTTTCCTCTCTACGTAATCTATGTATCCATCCTGTAAGCTTTCCTCTGGAGGAAAGCTACATGGCTGCAGATATTTAGCTTGCAGTGGACAAGCTTATTGTCAATGCTCAATGGCATGCCCATGGATTAGTAGGTATTATTGCATCAAGAATACAGTAATGTATGGATAAGGTAATACCTATATCAATAATGGAAAACCTAGGTAGTAAAAATCACAAAAAATGCCATTTATTACACATCTACAAACTACGTTATTTACAGAGGAAGAGAAAGATTTCAGAGTACTGTTAGTAATAGATGAGCACACTCTGCATGCTTCAAACATTTAAAAATTGAGTTTTATTGCAAGCGTCCCTTATTACCTCGTTCCCAGGGTTAGTTCAGGAGGCTTTTATTTTGTGTCTGGCATCTAACAAGCAGCGTATGGAATTTTTACAGAGATGCCATACAATAGCCTTCGCAAATACCTTTAAAATGAGCCCAAACTCATTTATGAAATGTTTAATGGTAGGAAGTCATTAATGAAAATCACTCAAAATTGTCCCTTATTACTCCATTTGATGGTTTCTGAGCTGTAAAGTCATTTGATAAACATCAATTGGTGCACAGCTCCAACAAGGTGAAACTGCTACCATCAAACAGGGTAATAAGGGACAGTTTTGAGCATTTTTTGTTGATAACTTCTTAACATGAAACATATCATGAACAAATTTAGGCTCATTTTATAGCTCATTGTGAGGGCAATCAAATGGCACCTTAAAAAAATTTCATATGCTATTCGCAAGGTGCCAGACACAAAATGAAACTGTCTCGAATTACCCCTGGGAACAAGGTAATCCGGGACACTTGAAGTAAAACTTAATTTTTAAAAGTTTGAAGCATGCAGGGTGTACTCATCCATTACCAACAGTACATACTCTGAAGTCCTCCTCTTTCATTGTAGCTGATGTAGATGTAGAATAAATGACATTTTCTGTGTTTTTTACTTGTTTATCCTTTATTGATATGATATCACCATATTCATTTATTATCATATTATTGATGTGATATTACCGTATCCATAAACATGCCATTTAGCATTTACAATGACCTTGGCCACTGCAAGCTTAATATCAGCAGCCAAATTGCATTTCTTCTGTATCTGTAAGCTTACTGGATGGCTTGTAATTTCACACCATTTAAATTGAGTTGAGTGAACTCACCATAAAAAAATCATAAAAAACATACTACCTGAAACAGAAAGGAATGTTTTATAAACAATCATTATGTTTTGTAGAAATAAATCATAGTTTAGGTTAATTACTTTTCATTCTATGATGCCCGGTGCACAATTCTATATATGACATTCTGTGCACAATTTTGTGATGACTGATGATACATTACTTTTTTAATCAGTGAAATTTTTTTCGCTGAGCGAGGTAAATGTAATAAAAATTCTTTGTTGTTAATCAATATTTTTTGTTAACTGGGGCCTTTGCTAACTGAGGTTAAACTATAAATGCATTTTTAGAAGTGTCCTTTATTACCCCGGGGGGTGTCCCTAATTACCCCGTCGCATGGAAATGGCTGTCATTTTTTCTGGAATGAGGTAGACAAATTTTGTCAATCGCGTTTTCAAGCCAACACCTGTGTGCAACTTTTATGTAAGTGAAATTTTTTAATACGGTGAATATTTTGCTCCAGACCTAAGAGGTACATACTTTTCTCCCAAATTGCTCTTTTCACATTTTTTTCAGCAATTTCTTAGAGATATGGTAGTAAATGTATGATTTCTTAACTTGCTTTATACATAATAGCTAGTAAAAATGATTGAAGTTTATGCCACTATTTTTAGTTTTGCAATATTTTGATCAATTTAGCTGCTACAACATTTCTACGAAATATGGGATGCGCATCCCGATTTACCTCGCCCGTTCCTTATTACCCCGTTTGACAGTATTAAATTTCATTTCAGAAAAAGTTGGATTGCTAGTCTTCTGATTCAAAAGTTAACCATGACTTATTATATTTATTACAATTCACAATTTTTGTATTCTTATTTGCACCTTCCTTTGACAACAACTTTTAATCATTTTATTGTGTAATTTAACTCTCATCAAAATTACAGTAAATTGAAACTAATTATGCACCTTATATTGTTAACAGTAATGACCCATGTAATGATGTTTTCATTCACAGACAACTTAGCACACCCTCCTTCATTGCTATGCCTAGAACAACATGTTGTGTGCCTGGTTGTTGCAATAGAGGCACTTACCCATTTCCTTCTGACTCGGAGTTAGGGAAGGAATGGCTTGCTGCTATCCAACGTGTAAACTGGACCCCCAAGGAAACCAGCTCTATTTGTAAAGAACATTTCACTTCAGATGACTTCCTGGAAGAAGGTGAATTTGCTGCAAATAGTATAATTATTTTGTTGCAGTTCTAGGATATGGTGCATGTTGTGCTTTGAAATATAATAGTATAAGCTGTGTTATACTATCTAAATAAAAGGAGGGATACCGGTATCTAAATACCTGACAGTTACCTATGTATAAAAATTAAGTAGTATGGTATATCCATCAAGGCCAGCAGGTCTATCCAGATGTGATGGCAATGGTATCTGGCTAGGTATTGAACCTATCTAGACATTGTTTCCTCAAAAATAAATGCTACATTACTATCATGATACTTCATGCACAAAATTCTTCTTGATCTTTCTTGCATTTAACTTATATTAAATTAAAATTTCTTGTGTATATGTTTACTTCACAACTTTTTCATGCTGTAGAAAATGTATAAATGCAACAAATGCACAAAAATATCATGTTGAATACGTACCATGATTGATTTTACGTGGCAATTCCAACAGATGGCGAGATATCAGAGCAGCTCAAGAGCTCGGCTGTACCTTCATTATTTTGGTGGCGAGACAACAAATCTCCTAGCGATGAAAAAATGGTGGGTGATTGCTTTGGGTATTCAGAAATTTTCTAGCAGGTTTGGTGTAAAGGTTCAAGTTATGGTAAGCATCACTTTATTGTAGCAAGCAAAACAAGTTAGTGATGTTGAAGTAGTTTAATAAGTACAAAATGTAAAGAATGAATGAAGGTCCCTTAAAAGATACGGCTACAAACATGTGTATTTAGCTACCTGAATCTTCTGTCTTGTCCCAAGTTTCCTATTCAACTTCACTCTTGAGTTCATATCAGAGTAGACTTATGTTAATGTGATTGCTTTCACACAATATTGAATAATGATTTGAAGCTTGGTTGATTCTGTTTTAATGATTTGCTTGTTTAATATCCATATGCATTTCATGTGGAATTTTTTAAATGAGCAGCCAACTGGTTTATTTCACTACTTGCAGGTATTACTCACCTAAGCACTACCAGTAATCTGTAATGTCATACAAACATTAGCAAATTATCCAGTTTGGGCTTTGTTATGAGGCTATACATAATTTATGATAGATGATTGTTTTTCTGTGGGCAGGCGGGATCAGCTGCTCAGAAGAAGGCAGGCAACAAGAACACTGCAAACTCTGCTGCTGCTGCTGCCAAGACTAAGAAATATGGTTAGGGTCCTTGCTCCATGTGCTCCATGCTGCCTGATGTGCTGTGGTGTCGTGTTGCTGTTGTGACGTGTTGCTGTTGTGGTGTCGTGTTGCTGTTGTGGTGTCGTGTTGCTGTTGTGGTGTTGTGTTGCTGTTGTGGTGATGTGTTGCTGTTGTGGTGTCGTGTTGCTGTTGTGGTGTCGTGTTGCTGTTGTGGTGTCATGGAGACGCTTCATTTGCACGTGTTCCAGAGGTCCCTGACGATGCTGATTTCGACGAGGACGAGTTTCAAGACGCTGGTGCTATAGAGGACAGTGACGAGGAGTACAGAGGAGAAGAGGACGAGGAGGACGAAGAAGATGAAGGGATGGCAGACGACCTGGATCCTGACTACGACATCGTACCCAGCAAGCCAACGCGGGGCGCCAAGAGGCGGTCGGCCGGCAGACCTCGTGGTGCGACCCTAGCGAGCGATGCGTCAGAGGCTGTGTCATGTCACTGGGGGTCCCGGGCCAATAATTTAATGATTCATATTGATTAATATTAATCAGCAATGATTAATATTAATCATTGCTATTAATAAATTAATAGCAATATTAATAATGATTAATAATCAGCAGCATTCTTCATGTTAAGAGTATTTCCTGTTGGTCTAATGGCCATCTTACCGCAGTTTGAAGTACCAATGGAAAAAAATGACTGGCAAGGCTCAGTCTACTGAGTTTACGAGGCTAGATCTTTTTCTCTAGTATCTATTTTGCTGCGGTGGAAAATATGTACCCAGTATCCCTGAATACTTCTTACTTCTATCATGTCAAGATGTTTAGTGGCTTATTCTTTCGTCGCGCACCTCTCTAATGATGCTTGAATTGATCAAACTTCAGTTTGAAATGGGTTGTAAGCATATTACAAAATCTACATTCGATTCATAACGATCTCACCTAAATACCTCAATGGCGTGCCATCCTCTTGTCTCACCTATCGCAATGCTTTAATTTGTTTTCATGCATTTCTCGTCTTACTCTCCATGTCACTCAGTCGTGCAAATTATACAAGGCACAATGTATTAAATTACAGCGTCCGTCTGTGCAGGAGCTCTGACTGCGACCAGCAAGCGCAAGCTGCAGGACAGCGCCGACGACGCGCTGCTGCAGGACAGCAAAAGTGAGTCTTGGGACTTAGAGGTGTGGACATGAGGGACTTAAGGCGGAAATAAAGGACCTCTGTCATTTAAGATTTCATGGATCAATCAGAACTAAGCAACAATTTAAAATATCTGATGGTCAGTTACGCATAAGCTCGAGTGGTGAAGACTAAGGAACCTAAAGAAAAGTCATTCTTAAGTTGTGCACAGTTAGGCGTGGCCTTCAAAAAAGCGTCTGGGAAGAGGAGAAAAAATTGTGGATTGAGTTATACGATTTTATTAATATTCTGCAAGTCTTTACCTTCGAGTTGAGGAATTCATTCAATCTCCATACTAATAGGTAGTGACTTTGCCGTCTATGATGGTGGTATCACTTTCAACTTGATTACCTTCTAAATATTTAGGTTATCTTTAGCACTGTTTAGCTCGAGAAATGATCCAGCCTCTGAGACCTGAGGTAAGAGTTAACAGTTTCCTGGCTTGGTAACAGTTAATATGTGGCAGGGTCTCGCCGTGACGTGCCGCCCGAGTATCCACGGCAGCTGAACAAGGCATACAAGGAAATCTCGCGTCTGGCTACGCGCTGCCAACTGCTCGACGCCGCCCTCAAGAACAAGTCCTACGTCACCCACCGCTCACGCACCCTCTACCAGGTGACCTAACCACGCCCATCACACCCATTAGTGACGCAACTATATGTTCAACCCAGCACACAACATTTTCTGCCTGACATGACTCCTTGCACTTCACCTCACATGAATTCTTGCTCTCTCTACCTGCTAAAGTTGCGCAAATAGTTGCTCAGTGCGTACATACTGCGCAGGATCTTGTATCCGAGTTTCATTTATCGCCTCCTAGCAGGTTAGCTCAGCGCTGCCTGGGCCTGATAATTCCTGTAATGTTGGAATAATTCCCGTAATCTCGATAATAACTGCCAGTCTTATGTATTTTAATCAAGTGGAGACTATTAAAACTCACATTTTACATAGAAGATACACTCCCAATTCACACCTGTTTCAAAGCACCGAAAACATTTTTTGCGTCTTTTCAGTTAACTTCATATATACCAATTATAGAATTGAATTCCAATTTTGATCCAATCATTTCACCACTTTCCGCCAATCTTTTCCTATTCTCTCACTAAGAATGAATGTTCAGGTCCAGGTAACATCCCGACGAGATATGTATCTTGGATACACTCCTGAATGGCCCCTACATCTACATATTTTATCACACAATATTTTATGTAAGGTGGCATTGAAGAAGGCCCGAAAGATTTTTAAAATGCATTATTTCTGATGTAGGACGATGGTGCCTTTATTAATATTGAATGTAAGGAATGACTCGTTCTTTAGATCGGGAAGTACGTTCTACCGCACCAGCTGAGCTTCATTGAGGCGCAGGCGGTGAACTCGTCGCTGTCTCCAGGCCTGCGGCGTTGGTCGCGTCGCATGCGCAACATAAGCCTGGGACTGCACCGCCACAGCCGACACGCCTACAACTTCATGGCCAAGATATTTGCCTTACCCACCGAGGCTGAGCTGCAGAAGTGGGGCGCTCAGAGCGAGACGACGTCAACTGAGGGCGACGTCGCGTGCAACAACGTCACTCTCACCGAGGCCGAGGCGCTCGTCGATGAGGCCACCTTCGATAATCTCATGTCCGTTATACTATAACCTTATGGTTTCTATCTCATTCTACATCTGCTAGACGCTCATAAAGCTTCAGGGTTGGACAGTGACCGTTTTGTCGTCTTGATGAATCTTACTTCCATAGACTGCTGCCAGATTTGAGTTTTAATTTTGATACAACTAGTGAATGCTTGCTAATTAATTGCATTTACTTATTCCAGTAATTTTGATGATTCATCCTTTGACTATTATTCGGAAAATCGAAATGAGTTGAGTAAAATTTTAGGAGTTACAAGGTAATTTATTTGCTTTCAGAAGCAATTTATTCATGGGAAGTATTTACAGCTGTTCAACTACCCTCACGTATATTTTTATGACCACTAATATTTTTGGTTGATCTCTGATAACCGTCCGAGGTCGAAGTCACTTGGATACTTGGTATTGTGCAGCGTTGAAATAATTTTTGGCACTTTAACTTTAAAGAACAAAATTATAATTTCCGATCTTTTAGTGATACCTTCGATGCAGTCAGTTATGAAAAGTGTTTTAATGCATATTGACTCGTCAATCTCGAAACTATCAAGTGTCATTGAATTTTTTATTATGGTCATTTTGATGGCTGGAGATTTGAACAATTTCAACGATTGATTGCACAAATATGGTGGAGTAAATTGGAATTATTATAATTTAATTTATAATATTATGAATTATTTTTCTTTGGTCCAACAACCTTATTGATCTTGGGAGCCAAGAAAGTTGAAGTAACAAAAACTATGTAAACGCTACAGTAAATGACGCCCTCCTTACTCCTATGTGTTGGAGTAAGTTTCTTGTACCTGATAAACCTTTAGTTTCCGCCAAGGTAAATTCTGTTTGGTTGAAAGAATTGACGTTTTTCAAAGCTGTACGGAAATAGGTATTCATTAACTATTTGTAACCACTTATTCTTAGAGGTGCTCGTGTTCATGCAATAAAATATTCTATAATATTATTGTGGTGTGAATTTGTCAACTTGGTTAGCGTCTGGAAACGTGACAAGACTCCTCTTAATTGTAAGCGTGATAAGAAGCTTACTTATAATTCCTTTTGAGCAGGTTTCCCAAAATGCTTCTAGATGCATGACAATCTGTGCTAAGTACTAAATGGAACGACGTACTTTCAACCATTCCTGTTGTTTTATCTCCCCTTTCTCTCTGTTAGGATCAATGCTTTGTTTAGGAAGCTCGAGTGTGTTGCGTTAACGGCAGCTGCTCAGAGCGCCAGGGCAAAGCACTGAACGCTTTCTTTAACAGAACTTGTCTGCTAAACAATGCGAACATGCCTGTAATATCGCGCTCAGTTGTGAGAAGCACTTACTACGGAACATCTGAGATTGGGCTGCAGTGACTAGAAAACTAACATTTACTTTTTTCAGAAATTTAAACTTGGACAAGAAAAATATGCGGAAGCACCCATAAATAGTAAATTTGTTGCACTGTTTACGTCAAATCACAAGAAAAAGAACGTGAAAAATATATTTGAAATGTAAGTCTTAATACAATAGAGAAAAAGAAATCACTTGGCGTCAATGCCACCACAAGAACAAGTCTAAATCACACATTCGTCTGACAAGGAATCGTTAGCGTATCTTTGAGCACAATCCCTGACGTCCGTCTCTGTCCCACTATTGTCACCAAAATAATCTCGCATCAGCTCCCCCAACTGAGGACAGATGAGCGTTAGTTCTATTGCTCCTGGGCCTCAGTAGCAAAGACGTGCCTCAGGCACGTCCTGGGCCTCAGTAGCAAAGACGTGCCTCAGGCAGTTGACGACGTAGTCGCACCAGCGTAGTCCTGGACGTAGCCCTACAAAACATATTCCGAAGTTTTGATGAAAAATTGTGTCATTGAAGTAAATAGAAAGGAAAAATTCCCCTCTAAGGATACCAAACAAAATACTGTTGTGATATGGGAATGTTATTTTTATTGTCTCTTTGGTTCAATATGTTCATTTATGAGTTAAAATAAACATTTTCATACGTTTAGTGATAACTTTTGGGTTCAACACTCCATCAGTGAATCATTATCACTTGAAATGCACCGTATCAACGGTCCCAGGCAGGACGAGTCACCGTATCAACGGTCCCAGGCAAGACGAGTCACCGTATCAACGGTCCCAGGCAAGGCGAGTCACCGTATCAACGGTCCCAGGCAAGGCGAGTCACCGTATCAACGGTCCCAGGCAAGACGAGTCACCGCATCAACGGTCCCAGGTAAGGCGAGTCACCGTATCAACGGTCCCAGGCAAGGCGAGTCACAGTATCAACGGTCCCAGGCAAAACGAGTCACGATACGAAGTACTCATCTTCCTCGGAAAGTTGAGGAATACTCGGGAAGATGAGGAAGTCGTGGCGGAAGTAAAGGTATTCTCTAAGAGGAGCTGGCAACACGTCTCGCAAGCCTTCCGTCTTCTCTTCAATCCTGCAGTGGCCGAGGGAGGCGCGGATGGAGAGGCGACACAGCTCCTGCAGCGACCGCAGCGGCGCTATACACCAACAAAAATTCTATGTTCATTAATGCTAAGCTAATGGACCTTTATTAAATAATTATAATATCGAGCGTCTACGATTAGAACGTTTGTATTTGCTGCATTCAGCCTCCTAAATTGGGCAACTCCGATTAAGGTACAAATTGGGTACGCCGAAGGGCAATTAACCGTAAGTACTGCTTCAATCTTTGATTTGAACGTACCCGTTTGATTTAAACGAGCCATTACGTTCTCTGGACGACAGCAATTTTCCAGCGACCTCATTTCGTCGTCGCAACTAGACCCAGAAGGCGTAGGAGTCCGAAGCTTCCACCTCGGAGCATAACGGTGAACAATGGAGTACACGAGCCGCCTACTGTCAGCACGCGCCCATGTAATATCTGTCTCGCTATTCCAGAAGACAGAAGAATTAACTTTTAACATCATAGAAATTTATAACTCATTGGACTATATTAATATTAATCCAACAAGCTCCATAATTGTACGTCAGTAATTGACGAAGACACTTACTACGGGTACAGAAATAATTCGTGCACGCCGAGATGGAGCAGCATAAGCACAAGGAAATGATGTCCTGCTGCAATGCCACGCCTAAACAAATCCGTCATCCTGGGCGACCTGAGGCACACAAATGAAAATAATGTGATGACGCTCGGAGCAAGAAGGTCAAAACTCGAATGTGAAGAGTAAAATATGTAGTGGTAATGTAGAGTTTATATATGCATCAGCTGTGAAGCTACCTCGCATCGAATGATTTATTGCAATGCAGACACTTTCATCTAAACGAACTCACCTGAACCAGCACTGCCCCTCTTCACAGCAGTTCCTGGTCACCTCTGATAACAGAACTCGATACGGTGACTCCGGCGAGTGCACAATAGCTTGGATATCAACGTCAGTTTTTTTAAGGCTTTGCTCACGTATGCATTGACTAGATAAGAATGCTGCCGCAGATGACATGGTTAGCCGGAAGCCTGGAAAGTGTTAATACGCACGTGTCTCGAGAGTTCTTAAGAGCATAAAAGTATTCATATTATCAGTCACCTAAAATAGTAAGTTAACCTAGAATAATAGCCAAGTAAATTCACCAAATATTAATGAAAACATTCCAGAGACCAGTTTCATGAGCAGTTCAAAAAATAAAACATAAGAGAATATAAGTAAAATTATCAGCAGAAATTCAAATATCCACAAAATAATTCTACGTGACGAGAAAACGACAAAAAAACTCATCGAGTTACATTTCAAGAGAATAAGAACTATACACGTTATTAAGACAAGGTTTCCGTTTACTAATATGCAGTGATTGTAAAATCCTTGGATCGGCCACCACAAGTGGCATCGAGGATAATGAAATCGCTCTCAGACACAGTCACGTCGCACTGTTCAGCATAAAAGCGCACAGCCAAGTGAGAAGTATTGGAAAATGTTCGAACGAAAGCTGCTACCGCGATGCTCAGAAACACGTGTGTAGACGACGTCATTTCGACGTATGCTGATGCGCAGAGCACACAACTTTATTAATATACCAGGTTAGACGTCATCTAGGCAGGAACAATGTCCTGCTACCTGAAGACGGAACCAATCTTGAAATCATTCACCAGCAAAACATGCAAATTAACATTCACAAAATCTGAATGTTAATTTTTTTGCAGCAGAAGCACCTTGACTCAACAACACGTGCAGTTCCTATCCCCCTGGAAAACGTAAATCGTTAGGTTTTTATGTTGCTTTGTCGATGTCTCGTCACTAAATTTTTCATCTTTTTCGTGTATTACGTACTTGGATTTTCACTGTTAATTCAACAAGTATTATCTAAGTTCTTTTAACTTCTGATGCTGTCTAAAACGATGCAACCCATGAGCATGTGACGTGACCATATGCAGCGGCGTAGCCGACTTCTACCGGTCGCGCCTTAGTCTTCACTTATGTTGTTTAAGTTGGCCCAACCGGTCACGGTTCAGGTCGCTTCCTTAGATTCAGAGGCCTTAGTTCAAGTGAATATATTTGAAATTTAGTGTGGAATTTAATGTGAAATTTAAGTGGAATATTTTTAAAATATAAATTTGTGTTAAATTGCATATAAATGGTTCTTTGATGGGAGCAGCGCGATACGATTTGATCATGGGTCTGGTAGTGACAGTTCACTTGGTCTCCTTCGATTTACAGCCAAACAGATAGCAACCTGTTCACGTATGTTAGATAATTCATGAATATCCCTGTTGAAGTTTAACCATATGCCTTCGAGCATTGGACTTGGCAGCACTTTGTCCGACCTCTGTCATCCGACGTCTTGTCCTCCGACGTGTGCCGTTTAGTCATCCGACGTGTGCCGTCCTGCCATCCGAAGTGTGCCGTCCTGCCATCCGACGTGTGCCGTCCTGCCATCCGACGTGTGCCGTCCTGCCATCCGTCGTGTGCCGTCCTGCCATCCGACGTGTGCCGTCCAGCCATCCGACGTGTGCCGTACGACCTCTGGAGTCTTCTAGTAGCGTGAGACCTGCCCTGGGACTGGCGTGCGCCCTTAATTGATAGTGAAGGTGAGCCATGTGAGTTGTCGCAGTTCTTGGCTCATGATCGGGGCGTACGTGCTGCTGTCCTGAGTAATCCTAAAAAGAACCTTACATCCGCTAAAACTTCTATAACTGATAACTTATAACGTATAACTGATAACTTATAACGTATAACTGATAACTTATAACGTATAACTGATAACTTATAACTATTACTTATAACTAAAATTGCATTCCTGTTGTGCACCCACAGCTCCACAATCATCAGTGGCTAGAGCGGGCGCCGTGGTGTTCAACCTACGTTTGTGCCAGCTTATTTCAATAAATATATTGAACTTGTGATACAGTCACTATTTTTTCCACCCTTCGTTTTTATTAGACGCTGGTCTCTCAAACGTTTTCATGAACATATGGTGAATTTACTAGAAGCTTCATTTGCTTTTAAATTCTTCTCGAGAATAATGTTGACATCATACATTACAAGTAGTCTTGCTTTTTATCAGCTGATGACATTCATTATTTATTCCCTGCCAAAAGACCGAATATGCCAGAAAATAGAAGCAGTAAAAATCAAGCCCATGCTCCCTACAAAATACAACACTCACCTTTCTGTTTCATCAGTGGCAGGAGCTTCAAGACGAGGGGAACCGAACACAAAGTCGTCCTGTACAGCACAAGGTTGAGGACGTTACGATCTATTTCCGGGCCCTTCCTGCCCAGTATGTTTAAATATTAAGAAAATACATAATTAATAAGTAGCACAACGAGATTTCTAAAATATGGAACTTTTTTCAATAGGGCATCTCCCCGAAAGACTAGTCCTCACGCAATATCGGATCCTGTCAGAAGTATCATTATAATAATAAGATTTACGATATTTCAAACAATTCAAGTGACCATCGGACGAGAACGGCTGGAGTAAATAGTCTGGCAAAGATTGTTAACAAGTTCTATTGGGTTTCCAGAAAAGCTCTACTTTCTGTAGTTTTTTTCCTTTAATAGCACAATCGAAAGGTAAAAATACAACTTTTCAAGTGTGATCGGCTGGCCGTTGGCCACAAATTTAACTCCTAAACTAGCGCTGGAGCCAACGCTCAGCCTCAAAGCTACGAAGTCAACATCACAAAAAAACGCATTCCACACCAATTCCGGCAATGCATGAGTGCTTGAAGCCATAGCGCCGTAAGTCCACAGCCACTTCTCCAGTCTATGAAGTCTTCATGGAAGCTACATCCCAGCAAGGCACTACCAGCACACTTACCTCAAATCTCCACCTATTTTAGCCAATGTGGTCATGTTAGGTCCGGTTACGTCTGTTTGGATGGAGACTGGAGGGTTAAATGTGGAGGTAGGCGCATGCTGGGGTGTAGCATCCATGATATGTACAGGCAGGAACAGTGGCTGCGGACTTGCGGCGCCTATGGCTCTATAGGGACTTAACTTCACGGGAAGGTGACGGGGGTATTGGGCAGTACCGGCCACTAACATGCATCTGCTTTCCACAACTATCTCCTTCAAGTCGATGAATCTAATAATTTATGTTTTTGCATCCTATGTTTGCATTATGTTTTGCATGCTTAACAGCTTTTGAATTTCAGTTGCCAGGTTTTGCTTGTTTTCATAACTTAAATGAAGAGCAGTGCAGTAGAGGTGTAGCTTTGTGGGTTAGAACCTATTATGGGGCCCAGCAAGTCAAGTTATCTGCAGAACATCAATCAGCTAGAGAATCAGTGTGGTGCGAACTTACTCTAAAAGGCAAAGATAGCCTCCTCATAGGCGTCGTGTATAGATCACCAAACAGTTCTTCTGATAACGATAAAGTACTAAACAGTCTTTTACCGAGCATGAC